TTAGTCTCACCAAAATTTATTCATTTTACAAAATCACTCAGTCAAAATATTAACTTGGCCGACATGTACCAAACTAAATAGAAAAAACCTTAGCGCATAAAACTATTGAAAAGTTGAAAAGTAGTTTTAACGCTGGCATGTTGGAGCAAATGTTTGTGTGGATACAGCCTTACCCCCACCGCGTGGGGTGGGCGAGGAGACAGGTAATCGGTTCGTGACACGCGACGAGCGCCGCGACAGCCGTTTACAAACATTTCGATTACGTCCCTCATATTTGTTTCCACGCGCCACTATTTTTCCCTCGCTCAATTAAATTGTAAGTTGTCATGAGACTTACTTAATTGCTTTTACGTTTTCTTCGCTCTATGATTTATGGTCGACTTTAAGTATTAATCTACTTTGAGAACTTTCAGAAGCTTTTATTGGAAAAGTATTTTTAGAACTGTGGACTAAATGAATGAATAATTGTTGTAATTATTATTACCACAAAATAAATAATGGTTGTTATTACTGACAACTGTGTTGTATTGTAAGCTCTTGAGTGTATTTTTTGCTTTACCTGCAAGCAGTTAAACTGGCCTTTATAAGACTCTTTTGTTGATAAGTTTTTGTCAAGAGTTTTTGCTGTGCGCCGACAGAAGTATTGTTTTTTATAATGCTTTTTTGCTATCTTGTTTCTGAACTTTAATTTTCTCATGCTTGCCATAATTGTTTTTGAATAACATTTGTTTCTTCTGTTTTCCATTTTTTTATTTTATAATGTTCATTAAGAGTCTTTTTAGGTTAATAAAGTTATAACGGGTTAGTAGTAGTTTCGCACGATTTTCCTTCGCACGAATGTGCGAAACGTCCCCTTTCAATAATATGTTTTTTAGTAGGCGTTTCGCCCGGATGTATTAAAAGTATTCAAATCGCGTGCGAATCGACTCTTTTTTGAACTAGTAGTATGCGATTACTAGTTCTCAAAGGGGTCGATTCGCACCCGTTTTTATTACTTTTGATAAAACCGGGCGAAACGCGTACTAAAAAAAAATATTATTGAAAGGGGACGTTTCGCACATTCGTGCGAAACTGTTATAACGATACAGCACTTGACGGCTGTAATATTTTAAAGAATGAATACATATTACAATATACTAATTTATATTTATGAGATGCTATAACTATGACAGTAACAGTTATACTATCACGTCAGATTAATGCGCAGGCAAATTAATTTAACCGCTCTGAGATCACTTGGTGCAGGATAATCGTTCATTACTATGCAGTTCAGTGTTCTAATCCTCAGCGCGCTAACCTCGCTAGCTTGTCTGATGACTTAATTAATGACCCGCCGTGTCGTTAATTAAACAGCTCAGGCAAATTGAAGTTCACGCCTGCGCCTGCGGCTGCCTCCAGATTAAAAACAAAATGCAATTTGGAACGCGTCGTCCTCGTTCAAACTTTACTGGGATTTTAGCTCACATTACCGGCTGTAGAGCGTTAATTCCATAAATAATAGGACAGGCGTAACGATAAAGAACATAGGTAATGTGGAATGCAGTACAGGACTACAGGTACAATGGCTAAACAGAAACAGTTAATTCATTCAGTTGTTGTTTATAAAATATGACAACTAAATTCATAGTATTTTTCTGTGTAAGTTATTGTTGATAANATTACAGCATTAATTGCATACTAATCAAGCATTGGATGATTATAAATTAGTCGAAGGGATTCTGCTGAATCACTGAGGTCATTGAATGCCCTTGCATTCCGTTGTAATAACGGAGATTCACATAGCCGCTGCATTAAATGTTTCCGTATTGAAGCGATATAGAGTGGACTTATAATGACAAATTGCTTGAACAACCTATTATGACGTTATTACTCTTATAATAGTGGTATCAATGCTGTCACATTAGTGATTAATTCGTTGTTGGTGAAGCAATTACACCAAATGACCGACCGTTGTCGGCGGGCCGAGCGCCGAGGTGTGACCACTTTGTGGCGTAGGTAGACGATTATTACCTCGCGGCCCACTGAGTTATTGACCGATGCTAATTATTTGACGGCGTCTTGTAAACATACGTCGTGAGGTTATACCGCGATAATATGTTAATCGATTCACTTAAAGTCACGACTCATTCCTACAGCAATAATTGCCTTTTCTGTTAATTGTACAACATTGATTTGTTTGCCCTTAATCTAGTTGGGTGGTGTCCTTCAATAAAGTTAATGAGGCGCATGTTACAGTCAAAACAATGTTATGCACCTAGAATTAGTTTCCTTTTTCCTACGGGACGCTGCCCGCCCACCGAGCCACGCGCCGTCGGCAGAAAAATAGCTCGCCAGATTCTGTGAATTCGTGATAACTTTTTTATGAGACTGAAATGAATTGTATAAATATAATATAAATATAAATCTTCGGTGAAAATCACATAAACTCGAGAGAATTTGCTTTCGTCGCAGTCCGAAAGTGATTTATTCGTTGTTTCCTTTTATTTATTTCGGCAGTCATATTCTCTGTTGTTTTTAGTAATGGGTTTTGTATTTGTTTGTATGCTATTGTAACAATAAGGTATCAAAAAAGATGGTGACGAACAAATTGTAATTTTGTAATTGTAATATCCGAATAATAAAGCTTTCGATTGTAATCAAAAGCAACGCATCAAATAATTATTTAATGCGTGCATGTTATTTTAGACCGGAAACTCGTGTTCACACAAAGTTCTTCCGTGAATAATACTGAACAAAATTGTATTTTTTAACATCTTTCCTGAGCGGCATGCTTTTATTTCACCTCTTGTCTATTAATATGTCGTTAATGTTTACAAATCGTGTGAGTTATCGCTTGTGCGGCGCGGGACATGGTTTATTGTTATTATTTATTCACATTAGGCGGCGGTCACGGCAACACGTGTACTGGCACGGGCCACTTAACTCCTGATTGTATCTTACTAATTTGTTTAGTCAATAACATTTTCGCCTTGATCTATTGCCCTTTTCCGATTACGCTTTCCATCTTTATATGCCTTGACTGTCATGTTACTTACTCTATTGTTTATGAACGCGATTTCGTGAAAATGCATGGTGATTATCGTTTTGTTTTATTTTTTGAAACCTCCCAGTCATAAAACTGTTCAAGTTCCTTTTATTTGATAGCCCTCTCGATCGATTGATAAATCGAGCATTTAGCTGATTGAATATTTGTCAAAGGTACCGGAATCAGTTTTTATTGCACGATCTTACAAGCGGCAGCATCTGCCGTTTAGTTCAGTCACCGTGTCGGTGGCATGGAATATCGCATAATGGTTATGGTAATGGCACCCCTGTTCATCCCCGGGGCGTTGAGCCACCCCGCGCCCTCGCCCCAAGCGAACGCTGGACATTTTTTTGTACTGATTCAAAAATGTGTCAGTGGGGACCCTTGTTTGCGCTACTCCCTTGGTGGTCACGTGTTATCATCACCCCTCTAAAATTTAATTGGGATCTTTTAAGCCAACCGGCTACTGATTGTAGGGTAAAAGGTTGAAATCTATTTTCCGGATCCATCAGGCTTAACCACTTATTAAATCATGTTTACATTTTTATCAGATTTGTTTCTTTTCTTTTATGATTCTTTATTAAAGATACGTCTACTTAGGTAAAGAGGTTTTTTTCTGTGGCTTTATTAGAATAAAGCTCCGAGGTGTGTGTTGCTATTTGAGGTAAATTACATTTTTGTTTCACCAAGAAAATATCCTCATGCGTGAAACGTTGGCATTTACGTCAGGCCTGATTTTTTATTCATTATGTAATGTTATTTTACTTTTTAATGTCAATGTGTATCATTTAGTACCAAATAAATATTTTTTCTTTCTTTCTTTCTTTCTTTCTTTCTTTATTTCGGCTAAACACCACTTACTTGATGAGGGTGAGGGTTGTGTTCCTATGATTACGCAATTTCGGCGTTGTCACGTAAAATGGCTCGTTAAAGTCTCTTGAGTGCGCAAGACTTAACGAAACCTCGATACAATAGAATTAATTACGTTGCTGAGCATTGTATGTAATAAGAATTTCAATTGTTGACACCGTGAAGAAATTGAATCTATTTTATTTATTAAAACTACAATTTTAAAAGAAACTTAACATCCGCATTATAAAAAAATATGTAATATGTTATAATTTAATAAGGTGCAAAACTTGTTTTGAAAGTTTCGTTGTATTTTATTAAAAAAAAAAGTTTCATGAGTAACACCACTTCACTCAGTTAAATTAGTTTCCTTAATCCCCGACTTATCTCTAGCGTGTTTACAAGATTCAATCGCTATAAATATTATAACATGAAAGACAAGCTTAAGTAAGTATTAATTAGTGGTATTATTTAGTATTAATTGACAAACATTTCACTGAATTTTAAATATTTGTATCTGTTTAGTGTTTACCGATTGATTTATTGATATAAGACTTTCTTTCAACGAAGTTATTTATTGCTGGCGAATGTTTCTTTATCTAGTCAAGTAGTCGGCGAGGTTTACAAGTTCTTTACGGCTCCGTAACATGCAAAGCTCCTAAACGAGAAGCTAGTTAGGTACTTAGTACGTTCTCGCGTCTCGAGTCTCATGCATAGTCAGCCAAACGGACGGGACTAAGTATGATTAAGTGGGACCATAATATCACAAACTTAGACTGGAAAATTCGTGCGGTTCTCAACGACCCTAGAATGCTAGCAAGTTTATAGTGGAAGTAGATGAGTTAGTCGGCCGCCACTCTCAGTTCATTTAGCTAAATTATCGTGTTGCTGAAGAAATCGTTTCGAGACGGGATGAAAATGTAGAGACATTTCTCACGTTTCTAACAGCTTATTCCCTCTGGTCTTTACAAATGCATTTAACTGCGATGTTTACAGCTAAATTAAATGTGAAGTAACTGTAGTAGCTGTTTAATGTTCATCTTAATTTATCTCATTCCCTGTGCTCTAGTAGGATATTAAAACATTTTGAGGCATAATTTTAATATCATTTCTTTGTTGTTTACAGGCTGCAGTAAAATGTGCTTCTTCACCTCGTACCAACGCGCTGTCAACAAAGCCTCGGCTGCCATTGGCAGCTTTGGCGGCAGACGCGGCACGCATACACCCGCCAAACAACGTCAACTCTCATGTAAGTATCGTAGAATGAGTCAAACACTCACATTAAGAGAGCATGCTTTAGAAAATTAAGTTAGCTATCAAAAGTAATTAAAACAGGAAAATACACTATCAAATAAATCACCAATGACATAAAGGAAATCAGACGTTATTTTTCCATTCTCAGCCTTTGTATAGAAAATAAGGTTATTCCTAAAGTTGCATATTGTCACCAATCTCGAAAATGAAGAAAATGAATTAAGAGTACTTAAGTATATTTCCAAAATAATGCTTTTAAAGCACCCGTAACAGACTGTCGTGATGTTCAGTCGGTAAATATTTGCGTGTCTGGATGGAGGCGTAACAAAAACGTTCCACCGCACGTTCCATCAGTACTAAACGTTAATGCGCCGGGTGATCTCACACGTCTAAATGCAGCTAGTCTAAATCCGTGAGCCATCGCCGTACCTACCTCTTCCGGGCTTTGCTTTCTCGCATAAAATGTACGCAAACTGCCAGTCGGTTGTCAACGCGCCTCGGCTCATCTCTGAACAGGCTGCTAAAACAACACGCGTGAAATCAAACTGTTTGCTCATCTCGAGCCGTTTACCGCAAACCATGAACCGCTTTAGAACAAAGACGAAAGTAATCAATCCCTCATTTTAACAAACACAAGAGCTTAAAGAGTTAATTATGGAACCAATTATACCTAGTACCGGCCATCATTATTGCTGGAATTATTTATAGGGATTATAATTTCTCGCGAAACATGGATTTAAACGCAATCAGTGAACTGGTACATACACATATTTACCGCAAATGCATTTAATTTTCAATTATACCAGTTCGATCATTAGCTGCGTGAATGCTTAAACTGTATAAACAGTTGACTGTAAACTTTAAAACAACAAAACTGAGTATTTCCGCAAGTGTCCTTTTAATAGTTAGCGAGTTAAAAGTAGAACTTAACTGTGAAGTATTCTGAACAAGCGGGTCGTTGTTTTAATACGACTCCTTGATTGCGGCGAAAGTAGTAAGACGGAAGTGAATCACAATGCACTCGGATCTCGCAAAGCCGGCGAGGACGAGATGCGGATAGCCGGAGCGTGCACTCGACGCGATATTAAAGCAAAATGCGGGAGAGCACGACTCGAGGTGGTGCCGTTATTTATCCTCTGCCTTTTAAAATTTTCGCAAAACCTTAAACGCAAAGAGTTTTTACAAAACGACGTCGTAGCCTATTATAGGATTGATTTGTGAATTATTTTAATGTTCAGACTGCTTCATACAGTCCCATTTAAAATTATCAAGTCAAAACACTAGTGCAATTATTTTCAATTTGTTATTCAGTATGGCCGTAGAGAGCTTTAAAATTCCTCCGAGAAAGAACTCTGTTCGAGCGATATGAATCTAAATTTTTTATGCATAAATATCTTTATTATTTACATTATGCACGCTCTGACCTAGTCATGCTCAGAATCTAATTTCCTCTTTTCACCATGCACAAGGTTAATATTTAAATTATAGCATGTTGTAAATTAGATTTTTATTAATTTCAAGCTTTTATAAATAACTTTGCGATCTAACAAATCAGATAACGTCTATCCTCATCGGATCATCGGATTACGGAGATTGTAAAATTAGAATAAGAATAAGAATAATAAGAATAAACTTCTTCCTATCACATCGCGGAATTATTAAACGAGCGGCGGACCGTGTGCGGCCAGCGGATTTCAGTCCAATATTGGCCGTCATGAAAGCTTTATTTGGTTAACACGTCGCCTATGGCGCGGCATCCTCTGACATTAATTCACTTTTTCAAGCCGGATATTTTTAGCTTCGATGTTTTTTCAGCTCTGAAAAACCATTGAAAAACGGAAACCTTATAAACTCACTCACATGCCTGCGTGCAAATATTAGTTAAAGAAAATTCTACAGAATATTTTCAAACAGATTTCATTCCTTATTCATTTTTATTGAGATTTGGATAGCGAAAGGAAGCATACATGAAAACTTTTATGTAAACATTCTCTTTAGATCGCACCTGCTCACTAAAATATGACACCATCCTCCCTCTGTATTACTTTATCGCCCGTTTTATATCTCTCTTCTCATCACAAACTCGTAAAAGGAAATCGGAAGATGTTAAGAATATCCAAAATATAATATTATTCGCTTGAGCAGTTCTGTTTTGTGAAGTGTACGCTCAACTCTAAATAGGTTCACATTTCTTCCCAATGCGAAAGGAGCACTCTTGGCGGAATGCGAGCAGTTTACCCTCTGTGCTCCCCCGTGCATTTCGACAGTTCGCCGCCAGCCAAGATATGTCGCAATCCCATCCAATTTGCCTCCCGCCGCTCCTACTGCTCGAATAAAGCGGAAAATCTTGCTCCGACGACGAAAGAATAAATTATGCCGACTTCAATATCAAACGGTCTAACCGAAGAGCACATGTGTTCAATGTTTACTTGTATCTACCTCAATTGCAAATCGATGCTGGTGTTCAAAAGCAATTTAATTTGTTTTCTATCGAGCTTTCATCTTTTGAAAGCTTAATGATAGAATTGTATTCTTGTTGTAAGAACTATTTATTAGTCTAAACAAATAAATAAATTTTGACTTTGACTTTGTTACCTCGTGTTATTCGAAAGTCTGTTTGAAATGAAAGGTGAGCACTGAGCCACAACTGAGCATAGAGCTAAGCTTTAACATCAAACCTAAAGCTGTGAGGCGTGGCGTTCACTTACTTCCCACTCTTGTTCGGCACTTGTTCGGTATGGTATGGATTCCTTACATTCACCAACTGAATCGCACCTTAAACAATATAAGGCAAGGAATGAGCACGATCGTTTGGCACGCGCTGGGAGCCCGCCGCCACTGCGGTGTCGGCTAATAGCTCTTCGCAGATTCAATTTGCCGTCGAATAGAATATAGCCTCCCGGTGCGCCGTACGCGATCATTAAGTTACGCCCTCGTCTCCAGGAGCGGGTGAAATTCGCTTCAAACATCTACCGCAACTAATTCAAGAAGCAGATACTGCTCGGGAGTTCTATTCAAATATTATGAACCATTTTAATAATCATGCAACTGACTTAATATTTGCTGTGATTTCGTAAAGTAAAATTACATAGAACAGTATATAGAATTTTCGCCGGCGACGGTGTTGAAAAAAATATGTTTACTTATACGTTGATTGCTACCTTGCTATAAAAGTGGTTGTGGTAAACACAGATTGCTTTCGACAGAAGCCGCATCCTTATTGTGTCTGCGGAAAAGCTGGCGTGTCGCCACAGAACCGACACTGCTGCCGCCGCCAAATGTTTTTTATTCCTCTGCTCGGGCCGATATTGCCGTTTGCTTACGTCTCCCTAGACTTACATGTCTATAGAGCGGGAAACGCCACCCTCCTCGGTGACCAGACAGACGGACCTCCGAGGTCTTTTATTTTTACCTGTCCCATTGAAATATCGCTTAGTGTTTTGTTGGTAGATTTGTTTGCCATTTATTGTTGGAGATCAACAAAAGTAAAATTATTACGTACTGGGTGAACATCACTTCTTGGTCTTTGTACGTTACGTTTTGTTAAATGTTTATAATTATGAACATTTTCAATTTGCATATTAATGTACAAAATTGTTACCTGCTCTGTGAACTATTGATATTGTTCATTGAGGGTAGGCTAATTGAAATGAAAGCAATACGCAGCTCCCATTAAATTCTCTTTGTTCTCAGTAAATGAAATTCATTAATATTATGAACTTTCGAATCGCTATCGTTTCGAATAAATTCACTTATTTGTTAATTAATACTGCCTGTAATTATAAAATAGTATTCATTCACTACGACGAAAATGAAGTGAACGCAATGTTGATAGTAATGAATACTTTATTTATTGCTCGGTACCTATACGTACTTGCGTGCAACCAAATCGACTATGACAAATTGCTTCATAAAATCAGGACTGGTGAAATAAATTTATATTGGAAACGTTGATAAACTACATTATTCGTAATACAGTACGGCCATGTAATACAAGAGGGCGCTACAAGTAGTCGAACGTCTTGCTCGTAGCTTCTGTGGAAAATCCTAAAACCGCGATAAAAGAAATCCTTGAGTTCTTAGCACAACACATTTCAGTACATGTAACTTCGTTTTAAAACAACTGAAAAAAATTGTTAACATTTCCAAAGAAATAAAGAATTATTTAAAAGCATTTCATAATAATAAACTTCACGCATAACAACCGGTAAATTATCGTGTTTAGTTACAATACGTGTTGTGAAATTAGCGTAGCCAACTGAAGTTTGTAGGTACGCAAATGACATTATTTACTACACGTAGTGTTGATACTCAGTACTAACTATGTAGTCTGCATGCAGTCGTGACGGAGGCACTAATGCAATAATGCTTAGTTTACCATGTGTTGCACTTAAGTAGTAGTAACTAATTTTTGCATCATCTTTGATAATTGTAAATCTTTTTCCATTTTTATTTGTGCATGTGTTTTTAATAAAAGTAAGATCTTCAAGAGGAAACTAGATACTTTAAGCTGCCAAAACAGACATATCATATGCCAAGATGTGCAGGTTATTAGTAAGAGTGTTTAACTCACAATTTTATTTTGCTGTCCCCAAATTAGCCCCTTCTAAGGAACTAGTAACCAAAACAAAATTTTTGGTCATAGGAAAGCGAGACATAAGGCAGCATACCTACTAATTGATAATCGGTACGAGAACGTGACCAGTGGTACGCTGTGGAAATGTTAATTCAATCACAGTTCCATTCGTTCGACGTTGCAGCACCATATTAATCCGAGAGCGGTCTGTCGCGAAATTCCATTTGGAAATGCCGCGAGCTAACGTCGCTTGATGTTGGAGCTGAATCAGATTGATCTACTGTGATTGTATGCGCTCAGTTTACGGGAATACCTGACATTTATTTTTGGAATCCGTATTCCGGTATAGCTCACCCCTCCAATTCATCATTTTAAAAATTCATTCCTGCTTAAAAATTCATCGAACGGAAGAATTAACCTCTCCTCGGTAATTACACATTCCCGGTTCATGTTAACCATAGTAATTCAGTGCCCAGTAATTAGAACAAGGCTCTGGCATCGCTGACAACTTCCAACAAGGGAGTAACGTGCCATGACATAAATAAATTATGCAACGCGCCACTTAACGCCACCGCACCCTGTCTGCCACCTCGCTGCCGCGCTCCTCGCCGCGATCTACGTCTCTAACGATACTGATAAATAATCGCCTAGATTGCGCCACTTATCTCCTCCCGTAAGATTTATCACCGGTTGTAAATAAATAAGCGATAGGAACACTGAAATCTTAACATAAACTAACCGGATAGACTGGCCGGTGCGCGGCGCTGCAATATACAGATAATTGCGGTACATAAATGTCTTTGATTGCATGAAAATTATCATTCCACACCGTATCGATATTCAGCTTCTTTCGCATGGAGTATACCTGTATTCATGAAAAATGTAATTGAATGATTTATCTGGTCGGTCACGTTTCGTTGCCATATGGAGTTCTCATGAATAAGTAATGTTCGGCCGCGGTCGTTGTTTCAATTAGCGGTTGTGTCGCCAGTCGGGCACGCCGCACGACCGCCCCCGCCCGCCTGTGCTCCGACATCGAGCAACCCGCCAGCAGCGCTATTGTCATAAAGGAACGATTCACTGGCCCGCACAATGCACCACGATGACCCAATATTAGCCACTGATGTGACAAAAAACAATTTGATGATAATAGCCACCGATAATATCAAGTTCTATAAAAATCCAATTACAGCTTTTGCCTAAAATAATTGTATGTAGAACTTTAATAAAACTTTTGAAATGAGTAAACATTTCATGACTTCTACAGAATCATTAAAAAAAAACTTAATAAAAACAACTAGCATCTGACTGCCAGTCGTCGCGGAGACGTTTGTAGTTTGCCTCTGAAATGTATTTAGGCGGTGGGACAAAGCTCATTAGCAAGCGTCCCGTATTTGGCGAGAAAGTCCCACGAAAGTCCATTATAATTGGAGCGAACTGTAATGAGCGAAAGTAATTATGTGGTAACATCCGGCCTTACAACCCTGCGCGGCACAACCCGTGCCGGATTAGAGGGATCTTGCTCGCCTACACGCCACGGATTAAATTGATATGTGCGACTCCGATCCACTCGTTTATCTATGTAAAGGGTCGGAAAGCGATCCCTTTTATTAGAAACGGGGACATAATCGTACGCGTATGTCTTATTGTAGTCTATTAGAGGGTTACGGAAGCATTCAACTTTTATTGTCTCTTCAAGTCGTCTACTTATGATGACAGCATAACAGGGGATTGTTATTGTGTCTTTATAGAGTTACAACTGCGGCACTCTCCCGAAAAAAAGACATTACTTAATTCACTTTAAAAGAAGCTCAACATTCAATGCAAGCGTGATAAAATCGCTGTTTAAGTGTGCGGATCGCAGGGCTTTTCGAGATTTGGTTCCGGTCGACGACCACTCCCGGAACCAACGCCATTTATTTAAATCTAAACTGGCTTCGAATAATGGCCCCTACCAGTCATAGAGCGACTTGACCGGAATTTTTAAATTGTTGGGCCATGCCGAGTCGCACGTTTTGTAATGGAATCAAGACTCTATTTTATAGACATGCATCGGTATTTGGCAATGTAAGTACGACATGTTAAAACTATCAAAACATTATTTAAAAATAGAGACTCGACCTGTGTAAATAAAATACTTAAAGCACACCATAAAAATGTGCTACGTTGCGGCATACTAATAAAAATGGATTTAGCTAGGTAGCAAATATGCTAGGTACGAAGTAGTTATTAAAATTCATGACAGCATCAATGATAGATACTTCAACATCTAAATCACAGATTACCTAATAGCTCTTACGTCTGAATGTTGAATTATTGATATAATCATTCACATAAATTTGACTTGTCTTGTGATTCATTTTTATTATCCATAAAATGAATGCCAAATCAAATTGGACGCGAAGTTCTCTCAAGTAATAATAACGTGGAAGTTCATTGAGCGAGGGCGGTGGGAGAGTTATCCATTTACAGAGAAGTTATACTCGTTTTATTTTCCTTTACCCGTCCAAAGAGCGCTCATCGCTGAGCATCACAGCCGCTTCCCCCGCTTGAGCGCTCCGTTCGAACCCTACCGTAAAATAGACGCGAAATGTGATAAATGGAAAACTCTTTTTATTGTCGGGCCCCGGGCATGTTACGTTATGGGTCGGCTCTTTTCGCCCCGCTCGCCCTTACTTTCCCAGCCTGTCTTATCAAGTTTTCTTATATCCTAGTTACCGCTCAATTTTGGGAGCCCTGTGTAAAAGCTTTTTCTCATCTTTTGTCTATTGCAATAGAATTTGACTTAAGTAAGCACTACGCGCTCCTAACAATTCTTTACCTACAACGAAGAGTTTGGATACATTACGTGTAGGTATTCGCGTAAAAAAATTACTAAATAATGGTGTATTTATTTCCTTTCGTAGGGCATTACGCTGCTTCAAGACGCTGGCACGTCGGATGATAGTGGACGGGCATCAGAAAGGCTCACGGGGAGTTCGGTCGCACCTCGCGATCCTGACTCTTCCCGTGATCGCCTTAGCGACGTAAGTGCCGCTTACATTTTATTTCATACTCTTCGATAGTATTATCACCTATCACAAACCCTTCTTCAAAAATAAAAGCTTTAGCTTTAACTGGACCTATGATGACGAATGTTTGTAACTAAGACGAAATGTGCTTTTTGACACTTACTGTGCATTAAACTGCCTTTCAGTTATTTCTGTATTCATTCATTTAAAAAAAAATCAATGTTATGTCATACCCCAATCCCTGACACACTGAGGTGCATGTGTTAAAATGTCACTTAATGTTGTATTTATTTGTAATGGTTGTTAGATAGAAAAACAACGCGCAAGAATGTTGTCTTCTATTTCGTTGCTACTTTTCCCGCCTCACCCGTCGGTCTATTTGAAGCAGATTATAATAATCTGTTCGAATATAATGTTTGTTTACTTACAAAACAAATCTTGACTCGAGGGCAAGGCGGGATAGTCTTCACCTCCCTAGTCACTCCACTCATGTGTTCGCTTTCTCTCTCCTGCCTACAGGCCAGTAGCCGCTGTAGTTCCGGAAAAGGCTATATCGTGAGTATACTCATTGTTGTCCTTGTCTAGAGTGCGACTTCCTCCGGCATGTCTCCCACGACCGCTTACTCTCTCTTGAACGTCAGGCACTGCATGGCCCGGATTTTGTTTATTCTTCATATTAACATTATAACTGTCTATAGGTGATTTGTGTAATGGCTATAATTTTCGATTACCGTGTGCAAATTTACTCTGATCACGAAACACACAGACCCTGTTCGATATTCGGCGCGTATCGCAGCTAAATCACGAGATTTGTCGAGGCGGTGCCGCTCCGTACTACATAAAATTACCTGAGCCCGCCCTGAATACTTCATGTTCTGTATTTATTTGAAATTGTAATATCTCAGCCGGATCCCTTGTTGTTTCCCTCGGCGCGAACTTGCCTCGTAAATATCTTGTAACGTATTCGTCGATTTATGATACGATGATAGTCTTTTTCTCCCACATGAATTGGACATTGCTTTAGATTGTTTACGGTATTATAATGTTTTATCCATGAGCATATTTGATATGAACAAATTACTTTCCTGTGTATGTTTATCTCTCCTTATCATGTCAGTTTTTTCGGTGTGATAAGAAGAGTATTTCTTTATTACAACTTGGACCTCATGTTAGTTTTCAAAATTTGCAGTAAGCGGTATTCCATTTATTACTTATTATTTACCTACATATTTCAAATTGTTTGTCTATTGTATAGATAGTTTAAACTAATTATGTTTTTAATTAAGTCGATGAAATCTAAAATCTATTCGTGCGAAGAACATAATTCAGACATTTTTTTAAAATACACTTTACCTGTAAGAATTCGAGATTGGTGTACAGTTGAATGCATTTTTATTAATTTGTCTTGCTAAATCTCTTGTAATTTTACAGCAGTAATAAAAATATATGAACACAAATCAACGTATAATTATAACACGACAGAAGTCAGTCCACATAATTAATAACAAAGACTTAAGACGGATGTGAATAGTATTTTACAATTACATATTGCGATTCTTCTACTTGTCTAATTTTTCGGCATTATAAAATAATAAACATTTATCTTTGATCTGACTCAGTTCGAAAATAATCGGCCTTTGAAACTGAGCATGCGACATCTGTCGGTCGTACTTTATGAGCATATAAAACATTTAAAAAGTATGATACAAGTAGTCGTTCAAAAGCTTGGAATTACATGAATTTTGCTTCACCCGGTGTGGGCCCATTAATTTATCAACTTGCATTATCACTAGAAACAATAATAACATTATACAGATCTAACATTTTAGCGATTTATTCATCGTAGTTAATTGCATGCAAATGATGATGCAAATACTTATACTTACCATTTTTATCGAATGTGTTCAATTTAATTAATCTGTGGCTTTCTTCTTTTGCAGTGTGATAGTGAAGGCGACGACGATAAGGCAAGTATTTTTATCAAATTAGTATTACTTTGCTTCTCATGCAGGCATTGTTTAAAGATTTGCGTCATAAGTTCAAAAATATACAAGTTCAAAGTGCAAAATTCTTCAATCTCTAATATCAGCGGTATGTTTCCCACACGATATACGATTCGCGTAAATTAATTAAAGCCAGTCCCCGACTCCTCGGCTCTTTGTGAGTTGGAAAAGTTGAAACAGAGCGTTGGAAATAAATGTCCGTGTAATGTAAGTGGCGAAGTTGTTCGTTCCCGGTTTATTACCGACCGGACTAGCTCGCAGTCGCAGTGATTAATCTCGCGGGGGAGACGCGCTGTCCTCCGCACCTGTTTACAAATTGTTTAGTTAGCCTAGTCTATCTCTAATTGGATTGTATCTGCCCGTGCGCTTAACAGCTCGAAACGTTCATTAAACGGATCTATTATCTACGGGCATCTGCCTCGTTTATTGCTATTTATTGTATTGCTGCTGAATACGCTTAGTAATTTACTGATTCCTAACGAATGGTTGTTCATTTTATGTAGGTAATGTATAACTTATACATCGCAAATAATCATTAACTTTCATGTAGAGTTATTTAATTATTCTCAGTGAGTATTCTTTATATCATATTTTTTATTCCGATTATTATGAGCCTCGGATTTTTAAAACTAATATTTGTTACAAAAGGCAACTGCTGGTTTAATATGGATTTAGCTAGAGATAAAATGAACACGGTTGAAGTGTACGAATAGGAGTCTCTTTGTGCTCGGACTGTACACGCTGGAGGGGGGCTTAACTAACTCGTCAACAGGTTGTGAAATGCGAGTCAAAAGCCGCCGGAGTTGAGCTTGCAGCGCTCTGGCGCGTGCAGCAAAGAGCTCTGATTACGCGCTGCCCCTCTGTTCCTTAATTACTAGATTGGCGCAGTCTGCAAGTGCCCGTAATTAAATACATTACACCGCCTTTGCCGTGCCTAACAACTTGAAAGTCGACGCTAAACCTAGATGATTTTCTTACCGTATATGTCACAGTACTCATTATGTAAATAACTAGCTACACTTACAAGTTCTAGTAATTGAAATAAGTGCCCTCACTATAAAGAGATGATAGAGTATTAATAAGAAGTGATAAAAGTGCAGTCTTAAGCAAACTTGAGTACAATCACTGGCAGCAGTCGTGCAAATCCAAAAGCTTTAAAGACTGATAGCATTGTTCGGGAGCACCCGCAACCCGAGCTCGTCCACGTTCCCCTTAATCTAATTATCTGGCCGCTTCGCTGCCGACTCCGTCTGAAACACCCCACCCTCTATCTCACAATTTCTCCCCGCCGAGAAAACGTTTAAGTATAAAAGTATTTTATTAAGCAATCCATCCCGCAATGTTGAATGGAATACCAGATTTTAAATGAGTTTCAGACGTCAAAGTTTTCGTATGTAAATGCTTTTACCTTACTCGCTATGGATAAGGAAATTGTGCCTCGCATCTCGTGGGAAATCGCGATAAACTCCGCAATAATTTTACATTTCACGCGTTAGTACCAAAACCAAAGATCAGACAGCTAAACGAGATTAGAGGCGTCTTTGATGATAAACACGTTAATATAATGGTAATTCTGTATCGTTAGGCGCTTTGGATATGCTTACGCTTATTTTAATTACCATGTCGGTTCTGTCGGTGACTTGAAATAATAATGGTGATAATGTTATAACAATATTGTTTAGGTTTTCCCCGAAATGTTATCCCGTTTGTACACCGCTACACGCCTCTGTAGTTTGATAAATTTACAAATGTTTAATAGAACATTGATCCTTAAATATAATTGAATTAGAAGTTGAGTAGCACAATAATGCCAGTAAATGGATATCTGAGGAGGAAATCAGTCTCAGCTCCGCTGTTATACCGTAGTCGATTAATTAAATTACTCCGGGAGAGCTTGGCGAGAGGCGCTGAGCGATTCGCAACTACCTAGAGTTGAGCGGAAGCGGGCAATCCTGACTTGTTAGAGATAATTTAAACTCCCAAGGAATTTCACCTACACGTATTTCGCCGTTAAACAAGATCACTTGCATTGCCTCTGCATAGTTTTCGACGATATTTTCCAGCTGTCGAAAGTCAGTGAATTGCTCTTTTGATCGTCACTCGTCAGTGTACTACGTTCGTAATATCCTTTAAAGTGCAAACGTGTGAGCTACAGCTCGCTACATTCAGAGAGCGCTACACTAACTCGATCCTATTCCACTTGGGCTATTTGCACTCCGGGTTCAATTATGCCTCCACTTTGATATGCAAATCCGGTCGCTTTCGGCTAATTACGTAGACGCTTCCGTTGCACTGCACTTGACAACGTCAACCTGGCGTGTTTCACATTGGATTACTTACCATAATAACCAAAACATCAGTCATTTTTTGCATTTGTGATAAGTTACTTTAGTATTTGTGTCTGAAAACTTGTACATATTCTTACTTACTATTCAATGTTAAATGTCACCGTTTTTTTCAGAGCTTCACAAACCAAAATTGGTGCCGGAAATAGTGTAATACTTTGTCATTTCCGTAAGATTTGTTTATGCAAATTAAGCACGAACCGTCTTTTGCATATTGCATTGATGTGGCACTCTGAAAACAGTGGTGTTTATGAATAGTAAAACATGAATCTCGGCAAACTTCCCGGGCACAGTAAACTCTGTTATTAGCTTAGCAGTAACGGGAGTCAGCAACTGGCAATGCAGCCACTCAAACGTCCCACCCCTGAGTAGGGCTATCTTCTAAGTAAATTTTAGTATTCGCTGGCATAATATTTGCACAAGCATTTCAATCTGTACTCAATTTTAAAAGCCGTCTACGAAGTTTGTGGAACCTGCCTACTAGGCCAGTAGAATTAAACACAAAAATTGATTAAATCGNTACACAAAGACTGCTTTTCTCTGTTCAGCCCACAATTTGGTCTTACTATATTATGTAAAAACTTAACTTGTTCAGCTAGTTCTATTTTAGTACAACGCTGCTTTTGTAACAGGCTGCATGCAAACAAAAATGATAAACATCCAAACGGTAACCCTTACCGCAGCCGCATTCTGTCCGAGGCCCGGGAAGCGCACTCGTAACTCGCAGCTTACGGCGAGTGCAACTAGCATGCCCACGTTATTTATTGGACTCGCCGCGATAACAGCGCACGCGTCATTATAACACCTCGCTTTAAGCTCTCTCGACGCCATAACTTTATCGCGCATTTTTCCTGCGTAAACACGCATTAGTAAACACGTATATATTTTCAAGAGCTTTTTAAAATGCTAAAAGCTTCGGGGCTTGGTGACTTTTAAACGCTTGACATGTGATTTTTCTTCGCTTGAGATAATTCGTAGTATAGAACTGACTCTACCATCTGACTGTGTGGGTAATAACATGGCGGGTATATTCTAGATAAATCTGTCCGATTAAGCATATTTTTCGATATTTGACCCGGATTGAAGGTTGTGTGTAAATGCTCATCATCATTCATCTGGTAGGCATATCACTTCTGGTCGATTAGAGCGGGGGCGGCGGGAGCACAATCTGTGCGCATTCGGCGCCCAGGGTTAGGGGGAGGCTCCTCGCGGCACATTAATAAGCTCATGAATACTGATCGGGTGCCAAGCCCCTATCAACACCGGCTAGTGCTACACACAATTTTATGTCGAACATTGTAAAAAAAAATCAACAACATTACAGAAGCAAATATCATTTTATTCACAAACAATTCTTCTCTACATAAAAGGGATACAAAATGAAATAAAAGATTGAAATTTTAAAAATGTAGTGTCAGTACTAACAAGAAAAATTACAACCTCGGCTAAAATATTTTCCAAAGCTGCAATGTCGGGCGCCTCTTGCTTGGCAAGGTTTACCTTACGTAAACCTGCCTCGGTTAATTGAAAGAGCTTCTTTCGTTTGGCGTAATATTTTATGGCACGGAGTCTGTCGGCCGCGCCGCGGTGGAAGTATTTCTTCTCTCTCAAACACGCACTAATTTTCCCGTAGCACCCTCTCACTCCACTGGCGCTTACGACTCTTTATAGAACTCGTTTCGAAAGCAACAAGAAAATAATTTAATCTACTTCACGGAATCGGAATATAAATTTGTTTTCAACATTATCTTAATCGCTACTTCTATTTTATCATCTTTCGGTGTTGGCTTATTTCTCGGAATGGTATTCTTTTTGTTTCATTTCTTTCAAATGAAAAAATCTTATTTGGATAAAAGTTAAATTAGCATTCATACGATTTTGGAGTAGCTTTTATATCTTCGTTCGTATTTAATATAACAATGATTACCCAAAGGATAACGACGTAGACATAGATGCGTTGTTTGTATTATTGTACAAGTTAAGAGGGTATAATAATTAGCGTTAAAGTCAGAGGGTCGAGTGTGTGGTATAGCGTACCCACGTGAACCGCAATAAATCGCTCGCACCCACGGGCCACGACGCTGCGGCACGCAAGATAAGGGACACCGCAACACCATTAACTACTACAATGTCACAGCTCCACCGATCAACCGCGTAAACCCTCCCACGACACGCTTTATGACTTCTCGCACCTACTAACTAGCGCTTTAATCCAATACTGTTGGCGCTAACTGCTACGGTATCGTCGTACAACTTGTTTTGGTTTACCTAAGCATCCCATAAACCACAAGTAGATATGAACAATTATAATAAACTAACATAACTACGTGATTAACATAATGTTTCTGGAATGTTCCACTTTTGTCTTGTAAACGAGCATAAAGTGAAAGAACAAATTGCGAGTTTCCCCAGTATTTTCCTCGCTCGGAAAAATATATGTTTTATTAAAGCTCGGCATTTCCGAGAGCGAGGCAACCCTCTTGGCGGGTGGCGCCGGGCGCGGGGATGGGGCCGCGGCGGCACGCCAGTGTATAACAGACAGTAGAGGGATATAAAACATATTTACGCGCCTATAAAGTACTCTCGTACGCTCGCTCTCCACCATTTTCTTTTGTTCCT